AATAATAATAATAATTATTATTGTTATTATTATTATTATCGTTATTATCACTCTACTGTAACAATTTATTATCTTAATATTATCATTGTCTATTTATTCATTGTTATCGTTTATTATGCGTTATCATTATCGAATTTATTTATTATCATTATCTATTATCACTATTATTATCCATTATCTATTATCCATTATTATTACTATATTTGTTATCTGCTGTAATTATATATCGTTATTTTTCTTCATTCTTATTTATCATAACAATCACCATCACTGTTTAGCTCTATATTAATAACGTTAGCACAACAATCAATTTTAAATGCATGAAATTAATTAATTAATTACAGATTTAAATGATTAAAAAAGGGGGAAAATCACACAGTTCTCTTGGTGGAAATAATATATCATGCAAAAAAATTCATTAATATATCTTTTTTAAATCTTTTTGGTTTTTCTTTAGAACGAAAAAAAGAGAGGGAAGGAGTTGAAAAAAGATAATTAAAAAATTTAATCAATCAACAACAAAATAATGTTTTTCTCTCCCTTTTCCTTTTTTCTTTTTTTTTTAAATGCCAAAAAGATTTAAGTTCAAACTCTATTAATAATATGCAAATTTTTAAACAAAATGATAAATTTTGGAAGCAAAAAAATAAATAAATCTATCAATCAAAAGTGAATTATTGACAAAATGGAATTATGCAAAAATATCGATATTAAATCTATTAAAAAGAAAAAAAAAAGGGAAAAAGTTTGCTTCCAATACTGTTGCATAACTTTTATGTGCTTATGTAAATTTTAGATTTACTTACCTCAAACTTTATGCTACCGTAATTTCGTGTACAACACAGTTTTTTGCATGATTTAATAATTTATGATTATCATATTTTAACTCATTTGTTTAGTTTGTGAAAGAAGAAAAAATTTAGAATAAGTAAAAGGAGTATGAAATATTTCATTAGAATATCAAAATGAAATATTTTATTTTCATTATTTAACAAAAAAATTAATTAAACATTGTTTGAATTTAAAATAGCTGGACCAGAACGTTTATTTTTCATACGTCGATTTTGGAACCAAATTTTGATTTGTGTTTCCGATAAATGTAATTTCTGAGCCAGTTGATACCTAAAATGAGTGATATAATTTAAATTTGATATATGAGTATTTCGATATACAATGAACAATAAGTAAATGGATAAAAGATTAATGAATGAAACGAAAAAAATGAAATTGGAATTAATTGCTAAAAATTGAATGATTTAAAAAAAAGTTTGTTAAATAATATAAACCCTTAGCTAATATATTTTTTTGAATTACTAAAGGCAAGAAATTTACCGTTAATTTTTTGCCTTAAATAATATATCATAATTGAAATTGCATTATCACATTGTATTATCACTCTATTATAATTATAATCATATCTATATCGTGATATGACAACTATGATTAATTATTTATGATAGTATAATTAACATAATTAACATGATGCATATATATTACGATAGTATTAAGCGGCAATAATAATATATCTCAATTAAGACTATTATTATTGTTTTATATAATCAGTAATTATAATAAATTATCTATTCATGCTATAATTATAATGATAGCGTGATAATCAATAACATGATAATCAACAATGTTAATCAGTAATATGATAATCAACAATGATAATCAATAATATGATAAGCACTGGTTAATAAGTAAAAAAGAATAATGTTATTGTTATGATTTTATTGTCTTGAAATATGGTCAGTTAATTATAATAATCTACTCACTCATAGCATAATTATGATAATTAATGATAATTAATAACATGATAAGCTATACAAGTTGACAATATATTGTTATGATCATATATTTCATTTAATTTCAAAGATATTAACTGTTAAACAAATTCCCTTTTTCTTTTTTAATCCAAAAAATTATAGATATGAAATAAAGTTGATAAATTGAAATGAATAATAATTTTAAAAAAATATTCAATATTTTATTGAATTAAATTTATAATTTTCGTTTTCTTTTTCATCTCTTTGACTTCAATATTTCTTGACAAATCAAGAATTAATCAATTAATCAATTAATTAATTAATTAGTGTTGTGCATTCATACTGCAAAAAGTTATTGATATAAATTTATACTTCAAATATCACAATTTTTTTTTTTCTTTTAGTACAATCATGAAAAATGTAATGTAACACTGATGAAAATTGATCATTTTTCATGCAAAATTAATATGCCTTATCATTTATCCAATCAGCATTTAAGCAAAAATAACTTAGCCAAAGACAATATCATCAATCCATTTCTTATTTCAAAAAGTATACGGTACCTTTTAGGTCGTGATAAATAACGAGTTTGCGCAAAATTTCTTTCAAGTTCAATAAGTTGCTCAGTTGTAAATGCTGTACGTGGACGTCGTATCTTTCCCAATGTTTGCCATGCATTTACTACAATTAATTACAAATTTGATATTAATTAAAAAATTAAAATTTGCAAATTACAAAAACTAACTGCAAATGATGTAAAAGTTGATTATTCTGCCTTTAATTCAAATTCAAACCTTAATTATTAAGTAGGCAAATTTAAGAATGCAAATTTTAACTTACTATTTCAATAGTTTCAATCGACTTCTAAAAATTAATTAATCCTAAAATTCAAATTTACTTTGTTTATATAATTTTGGAAAAAATTTTCCAGTTCCTTTTTTAAGCTATTTTATCGTTTTACTTTCTTTCCCATTTATCGAATATTACAAAAATTGAAATCCTTAAAGTAATTCCGTTTTTTTCACAATTCTTTTTTTCATTTTTTTTTTGTTTAAAAAGAAACCATTTCAAAATAACTTTACTAATTTAAAACATAATTTCAAAATTAAAAATAAAACAAAATAAAATAGAAGATGAACAAAAATTGCAAGAGATTACTATTATAATTATTAATTATAATTACTTTTATAGTTATTCATTATTACAAAGAATAGAAGAAAAGGAATGAAATTTAAACTATTGAATTTTCTATTTTTCATCCTTTCTGATTTTTTTTTTAAAACTATCAACGATTAATTCGTATTAGCTACAATTATAATTACAATTACTGTTGTAATTACAATTACTTTGTAATTGTAATTACTATTGTAATTGTAATTACTATTATAATTACAACTATTATAATTGCATGCTAATTTTTTTCTTAATTATAAATTAAATTATGACAAGATCAAATAAAAATTTTCAAAATAAATTGTAAGTAATACATAAAAGAGCTAACTAACTTGTTAGAGCAATATGATCGTAGAGTAATGGAATGTTAGTGGTGTGGAACATGGATGGATACGGTAGTTGTTCAATTAGAATTGGTGCTGTCTCTGTCCTTGTTGTCGTTGTTGTTGTTCCTTCTCTTATTGCTGTTGCTGTTGTTGTTGCTGTTGTTGTTGTTGTTGTTGTTGATGATGATGATGATGCTATTGCTGTCGTCGACATATATGATGATGATGGTGATGATGATGATGATGATGCTATTGCTGTCGTCGACATATATGATGATGATGATGATAGCATCATAATTGGTGTTGTAACAGTTATTGTTGATGATGTTGTTGTTGTTGTTGTTATTGTTAAAGATGGAGCATAACACATATTTTCCATTCCAGATAATGTTTTAATATTATATTGATTTTTAGGAAAATAATTTTTAGGAAATAATGATTGTGAATTAATAGAATAGGTAGATGATGATGATGATGATGATGAAATATTATCAGGTAGAATATGAGAATTTGATAAAGTTATTGCATTTTGTTGATTATTATTATGATTATGAACATTATAGCTATTATTACTATACCCATTACAATTACTATTATCATTATCATTATCAATATTATGATTATTATCATGTTGTAAGAGAGCATCAATTGATGTGAACATATTTTAGGATAAGCTTATTTAATAGGGAGAAAGATGGAAAGACGATCTATACGCACAACACAATCTAGTAGTTATGATTGAAATTTAGAAAAAAAAAAAAAAAAAGAAATCCAAAATTGTCTCGTTCTTTTTCCTTCCATTCAATCATTGTTTTATTTTATTTTATTTTTTTACTTTTTTTTTCTTCCTCTTTCATCATCTTTCTATCATTACTTTTCTTTTCATCCTTATCCTCCATCATTCTAGTTATCTTTCTTCTTTTATTTTTTCTTCTTTCAACTATTATCATCAAAGCTTAAAACTAAAAACTAAACTGTTTGGGTGTGGTTTCTCATTCATCCTTAATTCAATTATTTCAATTGTTTTAAAGAAATTTAAAAAAGCAACGAAAATAATTCCATTGGGAATTTTGTCATTTTCTCCTCTCTCCTTTTCCTTTTTTTCTTTGTCTTTTTCCATCCTTTCTCTCTCCCTCTCTCTCTCTCTCTCTTCCTGCTTTTTCCTCTTTGTTTTTTTTTGTTTTAATATATTTTTTAAAGTTTTCTTTCCATCTTCTTTTTATTTTCATTTCAAAATTTTGTGTCAAA